GCTTCCATTGGTAACAGATTGGGTGCAGACCACTCGGCCTTCCACAGAGACCCTACATTTCAGCCTCATACCACCCTATGCACGGATAAGTAAGATCTCCTCCAAAATCATCACCCAAACCAGGCAGTTTAAAATGTTTTCTAGAAGATATCAACTGAGCAGTAAAATTGAGGCTTAAACCCCAATCTCTGAATCCCAAGTAACTTTTTTAAAAAGAAGTTTCTTAAGAAAGGACGAAGAGAACACTTGCTGGCTTCACATTTTATCCCCAGGACTAGGAGAGTAATTGGGATATAATAGGTGTTCAGTGTATACTTGTGGCCTTAATGAAAGAATTAACAAATGAACACATCATCGTTCGATTAATTATTAAAGTGTTTGGTTTAACTGAAAAAAAAAAATCTCTGAAGCTGGTAAAACAAAGTCAATTCTAATATTCACAGACTTCCACAACACAGAAAATATTTATCACGTGGGCGTTATGCTCCAGGTTTCCACAGAGCACGGGGCCCGCAGCAGTGAGTTCGAGAAGGATACTTACTGCCTTCAAGGAGCTTACAGACTTGCAGGAAGGGATGTGTGCGACCTCTGCATCCATCTACCCAGCTCATGTTAGCTGTTTAGGAATTCACAGCCATCATCAGTCCGCTTAGCTTAACCGCTTCGTCACCTTAGCAAATCATTACGTCACCTATGAAACTATAGCTAACGGAGCTTGCCATTTTTAACGTTCTCTATAGATTTCAAATATGGAATTTGTGCAGGGTGTCAGCGCATAGAGAGTATTTAATTTTTCCTAAGGGTGTTTTCATATTATTTCATCTTAAAAGAAACCCAGCAAATAGTGATTCCTAATAAAAAGAAAAGTACACAGAAGCAGAGTAGTTTTATTCAAGGTCATGCTACTCATCAATGACAGAACCGAGATCAGAAATCCTGTTTTATAATTCCTAGTGTGGGGCTCTTCGTAATGCACCCTGGGGTTTCCCACAAACACATACCATTTGCTTCTCTTCAGTATAAGTGCTATTTCCAAACCCCTGACATCTTCAGGAAGAAGGGGACAGACACCGCATGACCTTTCACTCCTAGCAGGAAACCAGAAGCCCTAGGACCCTTGAATGCCATTATCCTAAGTTCAACTGCAGGAAGACTGTCTTCACGGACAGTCAACCCTGCATACAGATACCTACTGCAAAGATAGAACCCTTAACCTCATCTTGACTTTGAAGATGGTACATGAGCTAATAAGGAGCATGCTGGCCATATTAAGAAATGTCCCTCCAACTCAGTCCTTCAGAGAATGAATTCTGGAACATTTTTTTTTCCTAGGATCCTCAGAGAGAAAAAGATATAAATACGGAGAGAGAAGCTTGCTTCACGTGTAAACCTCATCACCTACGAGATCTGGGAGGGAAGGTCTCAGTTCACAGAAGACTGGAAGCCACTGCAAAAAATATATATATCTATCTCCAACATTTTTGATAGGTAGGCAATACAGGATGATTTCTTTGAATAGGCTCCTTCAGAATCTTCTCCACCACCTCTAGGTAGTTACACTTTATTGGCATCAGGATTTAGTGACAGAGTAATTTCACAGTAGGCAGTACCATATACAAGTTTTACAATAGAAACTACAAATGTATCTTTGCCCACGTAGGTATTTCCAAGGTCAAGAACCAAAACCGACTTCTACTTGGAATCGTTGTAAAAATTTAAACCTCTCTCTGTATCTCCCTTTTTTATTCTTCCCATATATACAATTGAGTCTTGCAGCAAACCCGAAGTCTGAGAAGGTTGAAGTTTTCCTATGCTTTGAGATCGACATGAAATATTCAACTCCATATGAAATTAAAGAAAAATGTATGCTGGGATTCAGTGTTCTGTGTTGGAGTTTTGGGATGCGGCCTTATTGAATTTGCAAAATGGACCAGATCATCTCAAATCCTCCTCTAAAATGTCCCACCGAATGGACGGTGTCTACTTCCACGATAAACCTTGCATTTTATAATCAAATAATCAAATCTAAAATGTAATTTCCCAGCTAACCTCTGTGCCCAACACTCTTTCTCTGGCTCTTAAGCTATTTAATTTCATTTGCTTTGGAAATTTGATACCTGCCCCAAGACACACATACACATGCACACATGCACCAGAGAGAGACATATTAAATCAAATAACCTTAATCCATAGGTTCTACCTGTAAGGAGAAATATTTTGTGGCAATACCCACCATTAAAATAAATATTGGCCTCTCTGAGTCAAGGATCCACTACGGTAGCTATTTTCAAGCTAAATGCAGTTTGCTAGAATTTGGGATCTGTCCTGGTAACTCTGTCTTGATAGTAGCTAGAATCCTCTTAATGGACTCTACTATCTCTACAATAAACAGTGGTCCCTTCCTTCTCCAATTTTCCCCTTCTACTTGTTTGGAAGTCCCCGTTAAAAATCTGCTAAAAGCCATTAAGCCAACACAAATAGAAGTGCCAGTGCCGAATTCCCCAATAAGTGGTTTAAACCCTGCACTTAGCGAAACGAGTCAGGTCAGGAGGCCAGAGAAGGGGGACAGGACGGGAAGCACCCAGAGACACTGGCTCTGTGACCCTTAGCAAATTACTGCTCCGTGTAATCTACACAAGCTAGAGATGCATGTCCATAATTACTGCATTTTGCTGGGTCTCAGTTATTGCTTTGTTTCAACTGTTTAGAGCTCGCATTTAGGAGATCATGTGTTTCTTCCTTTGAAAAAAAAACTGTAATGAAATCCTAAAGCAAGAAGGGGGTAGAAATGCGGAAAAATAACTAGCACTCAGAAATCACAGGGATCATCTCTTTAACCACAAGAAGACGGGGCTGAATCTGCTGTAAGTATGAGTAACTGTTCTGAGGCTAAAACAGACCCCACATGCATGCTATATGGAACAAATAAAAATTAAATAAAAACCTGAAAGTTTGTTTTAAAAAGTGGAACCCTTGTTTTTAATTTCTTGGTTTTTTTTATTTGTTTGTTTATTTATTTACTTTTCTCAATTTTCTTACCTTTCCCTAACCCCTATTCCTTTTCCTTCTCCTCCCCACGTATCCTGTGACTTGGTCTTAGAGGTCATGGAAGGTAAGTGGCAGTCATTTTTGCTCTTTGGGATCACACTTTAGAGTCATCTTATTAAATGAGGCAGAGCTCATCCATTTAACCAGACCCACAACACAGAGGCTTGTGTTTGGTATCAGCAGATCTCTGTAGCTTTCCTATTCACAGCAGTGTATTCAAACCTTGATTAGATTTTAGAAATGCAAGAGGAAAAAGCATCAGGAGTCCTCACAGCAACTGCCCAGACAGCGGATATGGAGGAAGGGGCCCAACAGGGAACAGGACCTCAGGGTTCCCTTCTCCCTTCTTTGCACCTTGGGTTTGAAGCACCTACCTTCATGGCTGTAGGCATTTCCCCCAGAACAATCTTTCTTGAAAGCTGAGGGTGCCCTACATATCCTCTCTTTCTGACTCATTGATGCATCTCACACATAGTTACCATTGAGTTTTGGGTCTGTGCCCAGGCTCGGGGGCATACCAAGATCAATTCAACAGAATTCCTATCTGGAGAAAAGCTTTGATCCAGGGATATAAAAATATCTGGAGAAAGGAGAGTATAAGGAAGAAAGCAAGCCCTGGGGAATCTCAATCTCTCTCTCTCTCTCTCTCTCTCTTTCTCCCCTACATCTCATTGTGCATATGGAGAAGCTGGTAAGACAGTGGCTGGGACGGAGTGTCACTTGACCTGACCAATGCAGATCTGTTTGTGGTTATTGTATCCCTTTTCTTCTCTTCCTTGCCCACAGATGCAATCTTGGCACTAGAAATACCAAAATAGGGTCTCACATTCAGTCTATGTCTATGAGCGCATACACACACACACACACACACACACACACACATATTGATTGATTGATTGATTGATTGATTGATTGTTCTAGCTTCAGAGAGTCAATGCCAAATCCAGATTTTTAACTTAACCCGAAAGGCTGAACATTCAACAATGCTGAATCTAACTTCTCACAAAACAACCATGAACGCAACTCAGAGTTGTGACGGTTCCTTTTAGGTGTCTACTCCTACTCCGGTCCTTCACAGTCCTTTCTCCTGAGACAAATAGGTGCCATTTTTCATGACACCTTCGTCTTTCTCTCACCTGGCCTCTACCTGCCTAACCAGGTATGGATATGAGTTAGTGGTCTAATGGCCTATATGATGCTGAAGAAGAGCTCAATGGACTGAAGGGAACTTTTTCATATCTTTAGCAACGTGGCTCATTCATAGCAGGACGTCCCTGCCCACCTGATCCCTGAGTGACACCTGTGGGTCATTACCACCCAGCTGTAGCTGCGGTCTGGTCACTTCTTTTTGCATACAAGGTTCCAGGACATAATGGAATGAATGTGCTGTGAGCAGAGAGAAGCACCTGTCATGCTATTCTAGAAAGCAAGCCCGGCTGCTCTAGGATTTCTGCAGTGCACACATTATAGAAGGAAACATCTTTCTTTCTCTACAGGTTCCTTTGCCTTTTCTCTTATGTGGCAAATTCACTTTGTCATGGGGGAAACACCTGAGTGACTACCTAAAAACCACACCACCTGGTGTGTGCCTGAGTCTCTCTTCCATGCTCTTCCCACTGATTTCCTTCTCAGCAGGCCAAGTCAGAAAAATGCCTACAAACTCAATGTACATAAAAGGTCTTTCAAGGATATTAAAAAAATAGACCTATTCCAAGTGCATGGACCAAAACTAACACACAGTCAAGTGACACAAACAGATGCTAGCACTTGAAGATACTTTTTTTTTTTTTTGAGGATCATGCATAAAATACATGCACCTCCTTGTATGCCTCTAGAAGTTTCTCATGGACAAAAAAAGTTGGGGAGACCTAGTCAACCCTGAACATTTTAGAACACGCTCTGTTACAGAATACTTAAGAATATTTTTTTTAAGAAAACGAAGGTTGTTTTACCTTTTGCTCTGTCTCACGTTCTCCGTTCCTCTTTTCCAAGAGATATCAGCTCTGGGGAAAGCATTTGGTTTGCATTCGATAACAATTTCCCCACCAACTTGAACAACGGAGTTTTTTTTAATAGGGTTTCTGGAGAAATCAGGAGCAGAGGCTAAGAACAAAATTAAAAATTAAAGTGTTAAATGACTTAATTAACACAGAGCGACTGGGGAGGTAGCTCAGTATAATAGATAGAATCTAATATTTGTGGTCAGAGCTCTTTTCTCAAGCTGTCCTGGGGCCAATTGCTGACAACATTTTGGAGTCCCTGCTTCAATTTGTAAAATGCAGATGACGATAGATATTACCTGAGCCGGTCAGTGTCAGGATTAAAAGAAATAACAGTTGTCAGTGCGACAGCATAGTACCTGGTACCGACTCTGTGCTCCATAAATGTGATCTATTGTTGCCTTGGTTGTGTTCATTGAAATAACAGAAGCAAGTTGGTAGAGAGGAAGAAAGTTAGAAAAAGCCACGTACCTAACACATTCCTATAATATGAGTATTATGCACACACTTAGGTTATGTTGAACTTGCCTTAGGTTCTGATAGCAACAATTTGTGGCTATAAGAAATCCCACCACATTTTAAATTTCAAATTTATTGTTTGTTTGGTTTTTTTTCCCCAGTAACACTATAGGTTCAGTGATGGTAAGAATCACTTTCGTTTTAATAAGTTTTTTAATTTTAGGACTTAGTACATAATAAATAGTCAATAAAGTGAGTAAACAAGAAATCAATGAATGACCAGTGTACGGAAGCTCAGTCAAAGTGAGTCTCCTTGTTTTATTATAGTTCCTTTATTTCTCCTTCCTAACACTTAAAAAAAAAGCCTTGGGTTTGAAGATTAGGAAGTCACTCATGGTTTCAGACACCACTCTTTGGATTTCACAAAGTATCACTCTTGCACTGCCCAGCCTCAACATTTTCTGTGACAGAAAATCATTTCCCCAGTTTTCTTTGTGGTGTGGATGGTCCTGTGACTAAGTTCTAGTGAATGACAGAAAAGAAGCTTGCTATAGAAGTTCAGGGAAATGTTGCCTTTCTCATCAAGAAGACAGGCGTGGTCAGTGCTTAACCTCCCTCCTCTCTGCAACAGGGTTGGAGACTAATTTCTAGGGCCATTTTGAAACCTTGTGTGTTGCACAGGGAAAAGGTATAAAAAACAATACTGCCAAGTTGACAGCTGCTGCCCCTCTTGGTAGAGTAAGTCCCCTTTTGTTAAGTCTCTTCACATTGTGATTTTCTTTTCGTGTGCCTCGGAAGCTAAGTATCCCTTCTGCTTTGATTGGCAGCTGAAAATATCCTTAATGGATTCATTTGAGTTGTATTCAAACCCTCTGGCCAGAATTAGGGTGGAGGAACCTCTTCTGATTTGAACACTCCCCACAGTAGGCACTTTCTCAAACATTACTGTGTTGTCCACGCAGAATAATAATTGTTTCCTTAAATTGTATGAAAAGCTTATTTTGATATTTCTCATTATTTCAAGAGAGAGCCATTTTTAATTTATAGGAAAGTTGTGTTTAGATCAGTATGATCATTGCGCATGATAGCGTCATTTTGCATTTTCTGGCTATAAATGAATGACTTACCTAAAACTCTCAACTCTGCATTTGCGTAAATGATCTGATACTTGTTTTCTGCAGTGCATTGGTAGACACCAGAATCCGATACATTCAGCATAGTTATGATGAGCGTGCCATTATCTATTTGAATTCTCTCCTAATAAAGAATAAAAAAGTATGTAAAAGTACCAACTCATGAATATAGGCATTTGCTTTACCAGAAGATGTTATTAAACAACATGTGTGCAAATCACATCTGAAATGTGATACTTTGGTGTATTATTCCATGATCCTGAGCAGCTTTCTGAAGTTAAAAAAATGGAAATATACTTAGTATACTTTTAGTTAGTTCATTTCTGGAAAAATTGGCACTGTTTGCACCAAATGAATGTTAATTTTGTGTTAAATGATATATGAAGTATTTGGAAAAATCCATCAGTCCAGCAATTCCAAAAAACATGGTTGATAGTGATATGGCATAAATGTCATGGTCAGAATATTATCTGAACTTCCTATTGTAAGGTCTTGAAATTCGACAATCTGACAATTTGCCACTTCGGTTCTAAGTTGGAGGATAGGAACTTTCCCTTACTGCAGCCTACAGTACAAAGAACCTCAACAACCAAAATCTGTCACTGAGTTCCATTTGGGGTATAGAAATACAATTTTGAATATTATATTGAAATGGTACAATTTTAACGTAAAACTAAGTATTTCAAGGTAACTTTCCCATTCTCAAAGGCTAGTCAACGTAGGCTGGGGGTCCTGGTATTTGACAAAGGTTGGCAAGCTAATTCTATCTTTTGCAAGCTGCTGTATGGCCCCGGCCAATGGCTTCACCTCTCTGAGATTCCCTTTTTTCATTCTACGTAATAGAGATGGTGCTATGAGCATACCATGTGACAATATACGGAAAATACCTAATACAGGACCTGAATTATAGGAGAGCTTAATAATGTTAACTATGATGATGATCATGATGGTACTGCCTATGGCTAAACATATGTGTGACCTTGTACAATTTATTTGTCCTCCCTACTGTTACTTTTCTCATTTGTAAAATAGGGGGAATAGCAATAGATACTGTGTGGAATTGCTTAAGGGTTAAATAAACAACAAAATAGCTCCTTTCCTGGAATAAACTATACCCTCCACTAGCTTGAGCTCTTGGTATCAATTACAATTATTATTAGCAAATCAGGTGAAGTTTTCCCAGCAACAGGGCTGCTTACCTCTGGGTGGATGCGTTCGCCATTCTTCAACCACGTGTACCAGGGAGCTGGCTTTCCACTAGCTTTGCACTCCCAAAACAAGCTGTCATAGATAGAGAGGTATGTATTTTGGATTTTTTGTTCCCATTCTGGAGGAGCTGTTTCAAAAAAGAAAAAAAAAAGCACAAATAATCGGCAAGGCAGTCACCCACCGAGGACACCGCTCTGTTCCCAGGACCAGGTTTACTGGGTCCAGAGGAAAGGCATACATGTGATTTGAGAGAGGGGACATACAGGAGCTTTAGTGGGAGTAACGGAAGTCTGCTGCAAATATCATTAGGTATTCGGCTGAGGTTCAATATTTGCTATCTGTCCTTCTGCTGTACCTGTAGGACCAGCTAGAAGTAAGATCCAAATGGAGAACAGGGTCAGAGAATGATGTGAACTAAAGGTGAGAACAAAGGTCAATTTGGAAAATACAGGCCAAATCTGAACCCTCTGTGGGCCAGATTTGGTCTCAGCTAACCAAAAAAAAAAAAAAATGAAGCATATCTTTTTAGGAAACAATCACGACTCAATAGCTAGGAGCATCAACCAAATGTGAGCCTCCACATCCTACAGGATGACAGTCCAATACTTTTGGATTCTCTGGAGTTTGATACAGATTTGGCACCTAACTTTGATCCTGAGTATAGGCCTTCCAAAAATATCATTTTCCAATATGAAAAAGTACTGAGTCAAAAAGAAAATGTACACATGATATGAAAATAAGGTGGCATTAGCTTTAGCTAACGATTATTCATGTAAACAGGTGGGATACACATTAATTGTTTAAAAATGATTATTTCTTCCGTGAAGATGATTGGAAACTGTCCAAACATGCTAATCGACCCCCCTCCTTTATTTAGTTCTGTCCTGGTATATGTAAGAGCAGAAGGATTTTCCCTTGGAATCTTTGATAATGACGAGTGAGATATTTTAAATGAGTAATTGCAATTAATTTGATTTGTAGTCAATTTTTTTTCAGAGATTTAAGATAACCTGCTCAAGATGACAAATTTAGAAAAGAGAGAAGTCACAATTTGAATTCTATGAAGATAGCCAAAGTGAAGCACTGGTGTTTAGGATGTTTGTTTGGGAATGCGATCCCAAAAGGAAACTATCAGAGAAAGGGTGATTCAATAGGGAAACAGAGAGGGTCAATGCAAGATGAGTTATGGAATTGACCACCAACATGGGCCATTTTCACCCAATCCCAGGTAAAGAATTCTAAAGACTCTTTGTACATTATCTACTCCGGGGAAGTAAGGGGAAGCATTTATTCACTAGTTTTTGTTCATCGTCACCTAAGGGTAGTGTTGGTATAGACTACCAGCACGGACAGGATGCACATGCGAAAATGCTAAGCAGGTTCCTAAAGAGATCAAAAAACTCAGCTCAGGAAACAAGAGGTACTCAGAGTGGTCCCCTCTGTCACGGTATACCTATAGAATGCAGTGCTGAGCTGGTCCCTGCAGCAATAGTTAGAATAAGAAGTGGAACCCTGAGAACCTAAAATGGTGCACAACATAAAACCCAGGGCTGTCTGACTTCCAGACTTTTCTACTATAACATCAGCCTCTAGGAAAACAATGGTCCTTCAGGGCCCCTCTCATGGGGGGGAACTTCTCATGATATCACTGGTATGGAAAACTAAGGGTAAGATTTTCACCAGTGGACATAAGTGTAACATCAAGATACAGAACATGCCTTCTAAAGCCTTGGGGGACAGATCAAGGGAACTAACAGGGTGTGGTGATAACACTGAATCTTGTTTCTTCATGTTATTAATCAAATTTTAAAATTTGTAGATACTTGTTGAAAATTTGTCTTAGTATATATTTGACCTGGGAGAAAAAAAAAATTCATATCCATATACGATCTCAAGAGCTCACAAAGCATTATAATCTAATTCTTTGCTTCTTGTCATAATTCTAGCATTAACTGAATGTCAACATTGTCTGGATGCTTAGCATCCTGATGAGCAAAGTGTTCAATCTTCAACCATATAGCAATTACATGGATAAAAGCTTAGAGTTTAGTGTCTACCAAACCAGCGTGAGTTTTAGATTTTTTTTTTTTTTTTTACTTCTATCAACGAGTAATAGAAAAATCACTGGACTTCTCTGACCATGTTCTCTTCTTTTGTAGTGGTAATAAAACTTTAGAAAATCCTTTTGGATGTTAAAAGACAACATGGAGAGGGATTTATAGTGTTACTTATCTGTGAATTATAACTTAAGCAGTAATGTAATGAAACAGCTCTCGAATTTTTCAGCTGCTCATCAGCTCTGAGACAACTGAGCCCAGTCTCTCTTCTTTTTGGAGCACTTTGGCAAAGTACTTAATAGATGACTGAGAAGTATAATGACTATCTTATTGACCAATTATCCATTATCCCTCCCCACAAGGACTGTGTGGACTCTATACATGGCTGATGAGATCATGGTGAGATGGAGTGTCCAGGACTTGGGTGACCATGTTGAAGACCTTTAAAAGAGTCCAGTTTCAGAAGCCCCCTCAAGATCTCATTCTTGGACTTGACTATCAATATCTGTGAGATCTATTTCAACTCATCTCAAAGTTTCTTACCTAGAGTATCACAGAAAGTGATTGTGCTACCTCTCAAGATGATTGTAAGAAATTCAAGAATTATTATATGCAAAATTCTGTGAAAGCTAATAGTTACTGGATCATTGTAGAAGAATGTATTTTATGATTCATTCCCAGTTTATAGATACCTTGGGTATTCTGGTTCATCTCTTGATTATATCTTTGTTTATTAAATAGAAAAAAAATGGGAAATATTTATTGAAAACTAGCCAAAGACTTTAATACCATGATTCTACTGAAATTGAAAAAATCCCAATTTCTTTCTTACTGTTTCATTGACACAGGATACTAAATTCCAAAGTTGTTCATTTAAAAAGCAGTTAGTATTAAAAATTTTTTTTTCCTTGGGAAACATTGATAAAACTGCTAGGGAATCATTGGTAGGGAATCATACTCTATATTTAAAACAGTATTTTTCATTTTGAGTTAAAATTGGAAATTTTAAAAGAAATGGAAAATAATATAACCAAGGCACAATATGTTATCCACCCAGGACACTGAATTGGCATTCCCATGATTTTTCTAGTTAACCGAAAGATAATTATTTTTTTTTCCAATATGTTTGTCATTGATTTTAAACATGTCACATAGGAGAATATTTTTAGATATGTGTAAATACACTTTTAAAAACTTCTGTGATGCAGGCTTCAAATTTTTCAAAGATGTTAAGGATGTTTTAAAAGCATCCAACATTATAATAATTCCAAGATATATCTTACGGTATATTTGATATAAAAAAATAATAATAGTTCCAAGCAAGTGCATATTTTGGCTTGGGTGAAAGAGAGTGTAGACAACTTTTTAGATAATTTATTAATTTATTATCTCACTTAGTTCATAAGTGATTTTGGTACATATATATATATATATATATATATATAAATTTTTCTGTGCCCTTCACACGGGCAAAGTATAAAATAAATGGAAACAAATACTGCAAACCACCATTCAATATGATATTTTTCCTATCATTTTTCTAAATTCCACTTTAATTATAATTAAGATCACCATAGGCTGCTGCTGAATGTTATATAGAAGATATATTGGGGTCCCTGCTACCTTATATTATAAGTTTTTTGTAGCATAAATATGACATGGCTGATATTTCCCAGGCAATTGTAATAAACAATACCTTGGTGACAGGGTGTATTTTAAAGATGGTCATTCCTACCTGCCAATCATTGTGCTAAGCACCCAACCTGGAAGCGCATTTCTCCTATAACATGATAATGACATTTGCCATTCACTGAGTGCTATTATGGAATATTTTATTTGCTCACCATAAAAAATCAGCTGACCCTTGGCGAGGTTTCTTCCTCGAAGGTTGCCTGCAAGGCACTCGTAGAAGCCTTCATCTTCTTGTCGGAAGCTGGGGATTTCGAGGACGGCTTTGGATTTGCTGTATTTGACTTTCCCTGGCAACGGGCTTCCGTCCAACCTCCTCCAACTAATATCAGGGACTGGACTAAACAGTTAGACCTCATTAGAACAGATGACGGTTTAATCTTTATGACAGAAGGATAAAACAAGAGCATCCTTAAAAACAACTCTGGAGAAAAAAAGTTCAATCAACCTATGGTAACGTGACTAGTTTTCCGATCGTACAATCATTCACCATTCACTCATTCATTTATTGAACTCTTGATTAAGGACCTGACGTGTGCCAGTCACTGTACTAAGCTCAGGGAATCCATTGATGAATAAAATAGACATAGGCTCTCTGCTCTCACATTGCTTAGAGACCAGCAGAGACACATAACATCAACAAATAATGAAAACAAACACATTTGCAATTTGTAATTGAAACAAAAGGAATAGGAGCCAGAGATAGTAATAAGATTGCATCAATTTAAAGGTGATGGTCAAGGAAATTCTTGCTGAGAATGTGGCATTTAAGACTAATCAGGGTTTATATTTATTTACAGATTCTAAAGCAAACATGTAGATGCCTCTGTATCTGAATTGATACCAACAGGTAACTAGAAACATTCCAGATGGGTGCCTATATTATAAAGGGGCATCAGTACAGTAAAATAGATCCATATAAATTGGGAATATAGTTTCTATAATCCTCAAAGATTCTACTAATTTATACACTATTTAAAAAGGTAAAGGTCAACTTATACCATACCCTGTCTCTTCCTAGGAAGGATTTATTTTATCTACAGAAATTGAGACTAATATCTCACATCTGATATTTTTAGTTTAATGGGAATATCTTTAAATAAAGCAAAAATAAACTTTATAATATCTGAAATAAAGTATCCAACCATACGGAATGAGTTTAGGATCCCTGGTGTAGACGGTCTCATGATCACAGGTATAAAGAAATGCAGGCTTGAAGCAACATGACATCAGGAAAACTTTCACTAATAAAATGTACATTTGCAAAATGAATCTATGGTCTATTGAGACAAACATCTCTCCTTTCTTACTGTCTAGCCACTCCCATTTCTTGTAGATGTTCATATGATTTAAATATTTCCACTCTCCTTATATTTCAAATTAATAATAAGAAGTCATCCTGCAAAGTCCATTTGTTAAGCGTTGCAGGAGACGTGGGTTTCTTCAAGTCATTGAAAGTAACGTGAGAGAATCATCCAATCATACCCAAAGGCACTGACACAAGATTTGTAGAGTTGGAGCAGGAAACAGCTCCCGGAAAATGGGTGATGACCTGGGAGCAGATTCAAATACAGCATGAAAACTAATGAAGCCTAAGGAATTCTTCCTGGCAGAACACTTTGATCCTCTTGTGAACATCAAAGATAGAGCCCAGAAAACCATACCACATGCTCATAGGTACATGTAGAAACCTGGGGTCAGTTATTTTTCTTAAAGTGAACATACATTTACAGTTATAACTTGAATTTTGTCAAAAACAAAATGAAAAGAATTACTATCCTAAATTTACGTTCAGTCCTTTTAAGACAATTTCTCACCTGCCATAAATTTAGGTTGATATTTTCTTAAATGGGTAGTTTCCATGTAGCAATTAACCCTGAGTGACTAGTTTTCATACTCATTTTATGAAATACCTAACCAATAAAAATGAAGTCCTAGAAGAAAATTTACTAAGAAAGATATTGGTAAAATCTGGTAAATTTCATATTATACATTTATCATTCATTTTAAACACATGTGAACATATTAATATTGTTGTCCATGGGTTGCTGGGATATGAATTTCGTATATTCTCCATTCTTGGCTTATTTCTGTTTTCTATGAGTTTTTCACAATGAGCATGCACTATCTGTGCAATGAAAATCTTCTAAAGAAACTGATTTATAGGGGTTGGGGATTTAGCTCAGTGGCAGAGAGCTTGCCTAGCATGTGCAGGGCCCTAAGTTTGGTCCTCAGCCCTAGCGGGGGGGAAGCTAATTTATAAAGAGAAAAATAAATAGAAGCTCTTAGACTTGTCTGAATCCAAGATGCTTTGTTGTCTTTTTATGGAAGTGCAACTCTGAAGCTTAGGACAGATTTGTACAAAATACCCAACTGAAAAAGCTTCTAAACTGAAATATTCAGGCAAAAAAATTAAGTAAAAATTATATTTTTTCTCCTAGATATGTCTTAGTACTTTCTATAGATTGTCAAGATAGAAGTCATTTTTTTTGCATTACTAAATACTCACCTAATTATAATAATAATTGTAATAAAACTACCACAAATATTTCCCTTTTATTAAACACAGCCTCTGTGCCAGCTGCTGTGTAGGTGGATAGTATGTGCATTATGATTTTATAGACCTTTTCTGTAGCTAAAAGAGGCAGAGCAGGGATTTGTGGCTGTGTGTTGTTGTCTCAAAAGAGACTCACCTATCAGGAGACAGATGAAAAGATCATCCCGTAACAGCCTAAGTCTCTGCCCTTTCACAAAAAGTGGGTTTCCATTGCCAGTGGCCCCACTGGGAGGAATCAAGAAGAATGAGTTCAACTTGTCCCAAGTATTCCAACTTTCTCAAGGAGAGAGGACTCGGTGACAATAGGGGGTCCCACTGGAAAAGCCCTTTTACCCTGGAGAGTAGAAAAGACCTATCCTGTACTGACGTACTGTTCCAATAGTGTGAAAAGATCAATGCCGGGCTCCTAACCCTTCTGAATCTTATGCACCCCGGATTCCCAAGAACCTTCACCATCACCAGCTTGTACCTGCATCACTTTGTAGCAAAGACCTTCCAACTCTGAGAGCTGACCTCACCTTCTCAAAGACAAAGCAGAAAGCACCCAGGGATTTACAGGACCCCCCAGCAGCCCTAACCAGTAGCTGACATAGGGTACTGGTGCAGATGCTCGGGGTCCCACAGTCCTGCTGTGAGACAACTCTCGGGTCACCTGAAGGCAGGACGAAGATGAGCCTACCTCCTGTGGTCTCTGCCTGGTCATTGTCTCTTTCCTGCCCCACATAATCATTCTGTCAAGGGTTCTTTCTCAGAATTCTTATATTCAAGTTTCAAAAAATTATCCTTTCAGGGTCTGTCTCTTGGAAAACTAATGAATTAGGATGCTTTTTAACACTCTATGTGACTTTGAGTTCCATAGTCAAGTGCAAGGAATCCTTAAATGTGTTTCAATATGGCCTTTCTGTATAGGTATTAGACTCCCATAAAGTCTGTAGAATTAAACATCGATGGCCCAGAAGGTCAGAAACAAGTAGTGGACCACTGTGAAAAACCAGGCATTGTGAAACATATTCTAAGAGCTTATTATTCTGTAGGGCCAAGAATAAAAGCCAAATGCGAAAAAAAAGGCAGAATAAACTTGGAGCTGAACATAGGAAAAGTTCTAGTATTTTCTAGAATTTCCAGTGTTTCTTTTCTAAGAAATTTTCTGGAAATTCTAGAAAATATTAGAACCTTTCCTATGTTCACCTCCATGTTTTTTCTCACCCGGATTATATGTAGAGTGATGAATATTTGCTACACAATTCAATTACTGAGAAGTAAATAAGATTATGTGTGTTGTGTTTTTTTTTTTATATTACCTTTAAAGTTTGAAGGATACAAGATTCTAAGTTGACAGAGGATATTTGTTTGCTGCCTGCATTTTACTTTTTCCAGAAGCCCAATCCTTGCTATTTTTACTTCATCTAATTGGAAGTGGTGCCAATAGGAGAGAGCTCTGGATCAGATATGGCCATGGGAGGTTTGCACACCAAGGTCACCTTGATGGTCCAGCATGGAGCCAAGACAGACCAGTCAAAGGCATGCAGACTCAACTCTGCAGCTACTTTCCAAAAGTGATTGATGTCAGGATGTCTTTGCTCTGGGTTTTTGAGTGGGATACTAACTTCAAGCTTCTAGTCAACAGTTTACCAGAAATGCATTAAGCAAACACAGAAGAAACACACTTGGAATTCTTTGCACACCTAGGTCAAGTCATGCCTGGTGCAAACAAAGCAACAAAGCAAAACAAAACAACTCTTGGAACATTCTAGTTTATCAAAACATTCTATTTTTGTCTTCAACCATTTGAATCATTTTCCTGCTACTTTCAACCAAATGTGACCTCACAAATAGATCCAGGACACAACGGTAGCTGGGTTTACCTTCTATCAGTGTGATTGAATTGTATGATAGGGTGGATTCCTTCTGCATATGATATCTTCTGTTCAAGATATTTTAGAATTCTTGAAGCAACCAACCCACAAAAATAAGGACTCAATAGTTCCAAGAATTTCATATTCACAAAAAAAACGAATGGGAGATAAAAGAAGTTTTATAAGATTTCATAATTAATAATTAGATGCTCCAAATTTTTTCAGATCTGTTATATCATTGCTGTGAATGAATATCATGATTCTATTGATTATCCCTAGTCATGTGCTATGGTTTAGATATGATGTGTCCTTCGAAAGCTCCTGTGTTAATAGAGGAATGTTCAGAGGTGAAACAATTGGATTTTGAGAGCTGTAACCAATTGGGACATCCTAGTTTGAATGGGCTGACTGGGTGGTGATGGTAGGTAGGTAAGGCATGGCTAGAGGAGGTGGGTTACTAGGGGCTGCTCTGCAAGGGTGCGTCTTCCCTGTGGTCTCTTTCCCCTCTCTCTGATTCCTGGTCACCATAAATGGAGTAGTATTTCTCTACCACACTGTCTTGGTCTGCTTTTGTTGTTGTTGTTGCTGTGACTAAAAGATTTGACCAGAAGAATTTCCAGGAGGAAAAATTTATTTGGGGGCTCCTGGTTTCAGAGGTCTCAGTTCATAGACAGCTGGCTCCATTCCTTGGGGCTAGAGGTGAGGGTGTACATCATGGCAGAAGAGTGAGGCAGAGAGAACTGGCTCTTAGGAAGATCAGAAAGGAGAGAGAGAGAGAGAGAGAGAGAGAGAGAGAGAGAGAGAGAGAGAG